CTGGCAACAGCCGGGGTGGGCATTAAAACAACAACAAAATTGCTTCCAACACTGGGACCCTCTGTGCGTATTATAGAATAGATAAAGGAATGCTTGAGAATTTACGTCTAGGTGGGCTAGTGGAGTCTAGCCCAGCCACAGGACTGGGCAAGGAAGACAGCCACACCGACACAACTACAACCGTATCCCTACCCCCGACAAAAGAACAATCTTTGCCAACAAAACGAGGATTCAAACACCGGTCTGCCACATGAGAGGCGAGTTATCTAAACGTTGGTCTAGCATTAGTGTTTCTTACTGTGGACTCGTTGGTCTTTTTTTTTTTTTTTGGTGGAAAGGGGTAGGGGAGGGGGCATGACGTGGATGGCGACGAAAAAAAAGGATTTGCTGAAATCGGGATGTGTTCGTTCGAAAGTAGCAGATATCATAGCCTAGCTGTAAACAAAATCACATCACAGCGTCTCAAGCTGTTGGTAAGGACAACGGAGAAAGGAAGAGGAAGAAGAAAGAAGAAAAAGAAGAAGATGAAGAAGAAGCAGCAGAAGAAGAAGAGAAGGAACGTATGCTTACAGAGACAGATAGACAAACAGACCGACAGACAGGCAAATAGACATTCGGATAGACAGACAAATAGACAAACAGATCGATAGATAGACAGACATTTGTAGACGTTTAAATTTATAAAGAGAGCTAAACACACATATCGACAGACACTTAGACAGACAGATATACAGACAGACTGACAGACAGATAAACTGATGGACAGACATAGAGGCAAAGAATCATGTTTTGTCTATCGTTTTTGTTTTCTTATTTTCCTGTCTTCTGTGTGCAATTGTGGCTGCAGTCTTTATATCTAATGGGTCTCCCCCCCCCCCTTCCCCCAGCTCTCCTTCATGGTATTATATCCAGTTTTCCGCCCGGGAGATCTCCTCCTCATATATGCCCGTGTTGGGTGTTCACCTCGTCCTGCTACCGGGGCCCTAATATAGGTCGGACCTGTTAAGGTTTCATACTGTCCTCTGAGCGTCCCAGTTCTTTGAATCCTAATAGATTCGGATTCTAATATTTGACCCGGGCTCCCAGTTCGGCAGATGCTACATCTGGTGCCTGGAAATGTCATAGTTTGTAAATGGATGCAGAAGTTAACCCCAACACCTATCGAGGGCCGGCCGATTGATGCACATAACCTTAACCTATTGAGTACGTTTGAACTATAAAAGTAATGGTCTAGCGTCATATACTCGATATGCCAGTGGTGTGAAAAATTGTCTTTTACTTTATTACTCGAGACTGGCGCAATCCTAAAGCGTTCCCATTTATCCCTGTCCATCGAATTTAGCGATTTTCTCTTCATCGTGTCTGGTTGCAAAGTACGCGAACTATTCATCACTCAGTATCAACATCTATTTGAAGTTAAAGGAGGAACAGTTCTAAATGAAAGTGCCGGCAGTTTAGAGATCTAGTTTCTCGACTGTACCCGTCACTGTGCTTGATTTATCTTGGCGTACTAATCTAGCGGGAGCGCCGTGGTGTAGCGGCTTGGCGTTTGTCTACGGATCCGAAGTTCGTGGGTTCAAATTACAGAGCAATCAGCGTTAAAAAAAAAAAAAACCTTTTGGCTTCCAGATCGACCCAGCCTGATAGCTACCGGGTAAAGTCAGGAGAAGTAAAGGCACCGTCGAGATGTTGACCATGTCATCCAATGAGTACCAATGTAAAAACGTCCAGCACTACAAACCCAATAGATATGAAGAGTGGAGAAGGTTTCAGCACTACATACCCAATAGATATGAAGAGTGGAAAAGGTTTCAGCACTACAAGCCCAGTAGATATGATGAGTGGAAAAGGTTTCAGCACTACAAGCACAATAGATATAAAGAGTGGAGAAGGTTTCAGCACTACAAGCACAATAGATATGAAGAGTGGAGAAGGTTTCAGCACTACAAGCACAATAGATATGAAGAGTGGAGAAGGTTTCAGCACTACAAGCCCAATAGATATGAAGAGTGGAGAAGGTTTCAGCACCACAAGCCCAATAGATATGAAGAGTGGAGAAGGTTTCAGCACTACATGCCCAATAGATATGAAGAGTGGAGAAAGCTCCAGCACTACATGTCCAATAGATATGAAGAGTGGAGAAGGTTTCAGCACTACATGCCCAATAGATATGAAGAGTGGAGAAGGCACAAGCACTACATGCCCAATAGATATGAAGAGTGGAGAAGGTTTCAGCACTACAAGCCCAATAGATATGAAGAGTGGAGAAGGCTTCAGCACTACAAATAAGATATGAAGAGTGGAGAAGGCTTCAGCAATAGCCCAATAGATATGAAGAGTGGAGAAGGTTACATGCCATAGATATTAAAGAGTGGAGAAGGCTTCAGCACTACAAGCCCAATAGATATGAAGAGTGGAGAAGGTTCCCGCACTACAAGCCCAATAGATATGAAGAGTGTAGAAGAGTTTCAGCACTAAAAGTCCAATAGATATGAAGAGTGGAGAAGGATTTCAGCACTACAAGCCCAATAGATATAAAGAGTGGAGAAGGCTTCAGCACTACATGCCTAATTAGATATAAAGAGTGGAGAAGGGTCAGCACTACAAGCCCAATAGATATGAAGAGTGGAGAAGGTTTCAGCACTACAAGTCCAATAGATATGAAGAGTGGAGAAGGTTTCAGCACTACAAGTCCAATAGATATGAAGAGTGGAGAAGGTTTCAGCACTACAAGCCCAATAGATATAAAGAGTGGAGAAGGCTTCAGCACTACAAGCCCAATAGATATAAAGAGTGGAGAAGGCTTCAGCACTACATGCCCAATAGATATAAAGAGTGGAGAAGGCTTCAGCACTACATGCCCAATAGATATAAAGAGTGGAGAAGGCTTCAGCACTACAAGCCCAATAGATATGAAGAGTGGAGAAGGTTCCCGCACTACAAGCCCAATAGATATGAAGAGTGGAGAAGGTTTCAGCACTACAAGTCCAATAGATATGAAGAGTGGAGAAGGTTTCAGCACTACAAGCCCAATAGATATGAAGAGTGGAGAAGGTTTCAGCACTACAAGCCCAATAGATATGAAGAGTGGAGAAGGCTCCTTCACTCTGCTTGAGAATTGCGTAGTCCTGAAGTGTCGTCCTGTATCCCTGTACACTGGATCTACATATTTGGTCGTGCGGGCGGGTAATGAGCGAGCGGACTAACTGGCAAGCACTGCACCAAGGCATGTGGGAAAAAGCATGGACAGAGCAGATATCGTCAAGGCTGTACGGAGTAGGCTAGTGAATAATGAGCAATCTCTGACACTAACATGATTGCGTGACATGGAAGTAAAGCATGTTTATGCAGTCTATGCAGTCGTCGAGCCCGACATATGACACAATATAACCAGCTTCTCACGGGAACAATTAGTAGAAGTACTTTGGAGTGGCTGCTGCATCGTGGGACTTATCACGCATGGGAATGCCCAATGTGTAGTGACGTCGTTTCTGATAACAAAACATAACATAACATTATCCCAGCATAACATTATCCCTGTCTATCGTATTTATCAATTTCCTCTTTATTTTGTCTGGCTGTAAAATCCGCGAACTATCAATCACTCAGTGTCAGCATCTGTTTTTAGAGGAAAGTGCGACAGTTTTAAAAGAAAGTGCAGACAGTTTAGAGATCTAGTTTCTTGACTGTACCCGTCACTGTGCCTTACTGTACCTGGTACTGCCGTGGTGTCGTGGCTAGACGATCGTCTGTGGCTGTGAAAGTCGTCTGTTAAGATACTGACGAAGCCAGACTTTCTTCAAAAAAGTTTAGCATCAATGTCTGGAAAGATCCTGGGAGGCAAAGACAACCAGTGCGATTTTGATCACATCGTCCATCGATTGTTGATTTGTTTAAACAAATATTGATCTAGCATCATATGCCATGTAAGCCACCATATTGTAGCAGCTAGGTGCTTGCCTGCGGATCAGAAGGTTGTGCATTCACAACGAAACCGAACCTTTTTATTTTAAATTACTCGGCTCCTAGGTCGACCCAGCCAGCATTCGGCTGCCAGGAAAAGTCATAGGGAGTAAAGGCGGCCGGTGCGATGTTGACCACATTACCCACTGAGTACCGAAAAGTCTATACAATTTAGGTCTAGCACTATATGCCCAATACGCCTAAAGGCGTGGAAACGGGTACTTTACTGTCACATTATGCCGGATAAGCCACTGGCCTAAAATATATGCTTTGCTTTACTGACATGTATTTGTATTTTTTCTTTTCTCCAAAAGGTACCAAGTAGAGAACAGCGAACTTATCGACGACATACAGAGTAAAACTACTTGCATGAAAATCTGGCAAAGCCCATAAACATCGTCGACAAAGCGTCAGGAAAATATTTGTATTATCTCATGCAGAGTTATTTTTTTTCCACACCAGACCAACTCTGTAGTATCACCTTGGCTGATTTTTACTGTTCCGGGTAGTATTTTAAAATCCGTCTAACAGAATTTAAACGAATATGCATACTTACTTAACTGTGAAATAACATCAAGTGGTTTTGTTGTCAGTGAACTAGACTTAGCTAAGAGTGCGCGTACATAAACACCATCAAAGTTCTTGTATTATTCTAGCACTGGGGGAATATTTTCTATTTTTGAAAGTTTATCAGCATAAAAAGCACACTACGTTAGAGTGTAGTGTACGAGAATGTCAGCCAATCGTTGTATGAGAATCAAAGTACACGTTTTCAGAGACAAATGGACATAAATTTACATCGATTTTAAACTACGTCTAAAATGCAGTTACACATTCTAATTGACTGACTCCAGATAATCACCAGATCTTGTTTGTCACAAATTTACTTTCAGTTTGTTCGGTGTCCCTACAGAAGAATTTCCATGGAATCACCTTGAGTCCCATGAAATGACTCGTGGAATTACCCTGTCTCAATTGGCTTAATTGCCTTCTTCTGATCAACCAACGTCGATAGGATAACCTACTAGCACTTTATCATGGCCGTCACTGTGAATGTTATAGGAATCATTTCCGGACAATTTATTCTGTGGTTAGCGTTCGTTTGTACCATGGCTAATTTAGCCTTTCAAGCCCTACCCGAACCTACGACCAATTCAAGCATTCCAACGCTCGCGGCGACTATTGAAGGAAACATTATCATCGGAGGTCTTTTCCCGGTTCATGACAAAGGAGAAAAGGGATGCGGGTTAATCAGCGCCGATCGCGGCATTGAACGTTTAGAAGCATTTCTGTTTACCGTTGATGAAATCAACAATAACTACGACATCCTTCCAGGTATCAAGCTCGGTGCTTCAGCCTTTGATACCTGTGGGCGTGCTCCGTACGCCTTGGAACAGTCTTTGGAGTTCATTCGTGCCTCCATAACGTCCTTGGATTCAACAGAGTTTTACTGCAGTGATGGATCTAAAGCCACTGCTAAGCAACTTCCAACAGCAGTTGCGGGAGTTGTAGGCGGATCTTACAGCACCGTGTCTATTCAGGTTGCAAATCTGCTAAGACTTTTTAAAGTTCCTCAGATAAGCTACGCCTCTACTTCAGCCGCTTTAAGTGATAAGACTCGGTACGATTACTTCGTTCGAACTGTTCCTCCTGACACGTTACAGGCAAAGGCACTGGTGGACATTGTTCAAGAGTTCAACTGGACATACGTATCTGTTGTCCATTCCGAAGGTGAGTATGGCGAGTCAGGTACGGATTTCTTTAAACGCGAGGCCAGATCCAGAAACATCTGCATCGCTGCGGACATCAAGATTGTTATAACGGCTACAAACGCAACTTACGACCAGGTTATAGTAGATCTGCAAGAGAAACCCGAAGCACCAGTTGTGATCGTTTTCGTACGGATTGAAGATGCTACAGGCTTACTAAACGCTGCATCCAGAAAAAACCTCACAGGGAAGTTCGTCTGGGTAGCAAGTGATGCTTGGGGCAACAGATTAACCCCTGTTAAGAATAACCCTCTTGCAGCGCAAGGAGCAATAACTTTAGAGCTTCAGTCCACACTTATTTCTAAATTCGAAGACTATTTCTTAAACCTGAACCCTCGAACTAACAAACGCAACCCATGGTTTATAGAATACTGGGAAGAAGTGCACAAATGTACTTGGAACGAAGTTACTGACTACGCCGGAGAACCAGTGTCCAAGGATTCCAAACCTTGCCAGGGAGACGAAAAGCTAAGCCGCAAACCGTCGGCACAGGAGAGCAAAGTTCAGTTTATCTATGATGCAGTTTATGCTTTCGCCCATGCCTTGGATAACATGCATAAAGATCTGTGTCCAGGTATGAGTGGCATATGTCAGAGCATGGAGAAGATTGACGGCGAGAAACTGCTTAAGGAATACCTTCTCAACGTTTCTTTTGATGGTAAGTACACATGGTTGTTTTGATTTTACTTGCAATTATTGTTATTAATTTTGTAAAAATCAATCCCTCGTTAACAGCAAACTAATGGAGTTGTTTGTTAAATGATTTAGATCATTATACAGTTACACAGTAATGTAGAGCCCAATTCTAATGATTGAGCTGTGTTGATTTGAGTCAAGAATTAAATCACAGCTCTCGAGGCATTCCCATGTATTCTCCGTCCTCATCTTCAGCAGGCAGAGCAGAGTTCCAGTACTGGTGGTACCGGTCACAATCTGGTTATATGTCTGTCTTGCTTTTTCTATGTGTGTAGTGAGCCAGCCAGACCCTCTGGTTACACCCAGTTGCCTCATTCTCTCCACGCCATAATAATTTTGTTTTTTTGCTGATTCGGTTGCTTATTCCCAAAGGGTCTTGACCACATCTTCTTTGTCATGTATTTATTCACCACCCAGTGTTGCAGATACAGCAAATCTGTCTGCCTGTTCATTACCTAACACACCGGTATAGCCTAGAGAAAAGATCCAAAGCATGCTCACTACCCGTGACCTTTCCAGTGAAGCTTGCCAGTCTGTTCGAAGCACCCCTGTCTTCACCTTCTCAGCACGCTTTCAGAGTCTGTTACAATTACGAAATGTGTATGTATCTTGTTCTCTAGCCACAGGAGAGCTGCAGTTACCGCCTCCCCCTCCATTATCATAGCTGTGTTGAGTGCAATGTAAACACGTAAAGGTGTGCCTGATGTAGAGGGAATCGTTTGAATTCTCACTGAGACGAGTGAAATTCTTTTAATTGCCTGATCCAGGCTTCCAGATCAAATCAGTACAATAATCAGGACTAGAAAATATTCTGGAAAGCAAAAGCAACATCAGCTATCCAGCACTAGTTTGTATGAAAAATTACTGGGCTATCATGTATGTACTAAAACTGAATGTGTGAACAGGATCTTTAAGAAGAAAGCCGTCACTTCAGGTCATCATGGCGGACACTCAAGCTTTTTGTTTTAGTCGTGACAAGCGTTTTGCTTATGACAATAGTTAGCCTTGTATTTTCTCCAAGTGTAGACTAAAAAGAAACAGTTCCGTCGCCCAGCTACTGAGTTTAGCGCACCGAACGTGAGCCAAGTGATTTATACAAACGCACTGTTACTGAAAGAAACGTATTTTTAACATTCTAAATCCTTGTAATTTCATTAGTTACATTATCACATTGCACATAGGAATGCATTAGGTTTTAACCAATAAATAATATTGACAGTTTTTGTTTGTTTGGGTGTGCATCTGGGTCATTTATAGTTTTTAGGCGTAGTGCTTTCCAGACAACTAATAAAAAAGTGCTATCAGATAACTGTGCGTTTCTTTTCCTCTTCCTTCTTCTTCTTTTCTTCTTCTTCTTCTTCTTCTTCTTTCTTTTTCTTCTTCTTCTTCTTCTTCTTCTTCTTCTTCTTCTTCTTCTTCTTCTTCTTCTTCTTCTTCTTCTTCTTTGTTATCATCATAATCATCGCCATCATCATCATCATCGTTGTCGTCATCAAAATCATCATCATCATTATCATCATTATCATCAACTTTTCTTCTCCTTCTTCTTTTTGAACAGTATAAGATGCCTAGGTAACGTCAACGACACACAACAGAGGACTACTGGTTCAGCAGTACTTGCTCATTATCTTTCAAAGCGAGAATAGTCAGTCTCCATTAATATCTTCCCTTAATTTTTTTTTAACTTTTAGAAAAAAGCCTTGTCTGTGTGGTATCAGAGGCCCTGTCTGTTGAAACTTACAAGTGAGGTGCAGATGATAAATTTATATCGCAATGGACATGAAACTACTGATAACTGAAAGATCGGTATTTTAAATTCCTCTTGGGGGAGGCGAGTTAGATGGTGGACAGCTTCCTATAAATATTTCAAACTTTACAGACATGTCGTTGCGGTAAAGGCACCATAACTTCTTCGCCCTGCTGCCTTGCAGGGTAAGTCTCTTTAGACAAAGGCTATTAGAGTCAAAACATATACAAAATGGCGAAAGGCAAGGGGAAACCACCGCTAGTAAATCATGCCTCAATATATTACAAATTTGTATACAGGAAACCTAAAAGAAAATTTTGTTTTTAAAGGGGTAGAAAATTATAGGGAAGATAACAAGTTGGTAAGAAAGAAAAAACAGTTTATGTTTGATGTATCTGTCGCGTGACAACTTGTCGATGTGTCGTGGATTCACTAAGTATTTGAAGAGGAAAAATCTGAACTTTTGAACTGAAATGTTATAGAATGGCTCGTAGAATGCCGTGAATCAAGAAGAAGGAAAAACCTCGACATCCTGCATGACCTTAACGTCAAGGAGAACCGGCTCGTCAACAGCATCCTACAACTTGTATACCGAAAGCTGTTGTAATTTAGACATGTCAAGCGCTATGGGGGGTCTGGAGAGAACGGTGATGGAGGGAACAGTTTCCGGAAAACAAGGCAGAGGCCGTTCTTGAAGGTGGATACAGGACACTGAAGATGCGTGGCTATGAAAGCACACATTGCTAAAGAATGGCTAGAGAAAGAGAGACTTTCGAGTGTGCTATACAGAGAACTTCTTTTTCTTCATTTCTCTACGCCTGGAATGCCTGGCGACGTCTGAGCAAGAAGATATGTGTAGAACGGGCCCTTTTTGGTATAAAGTACTTTTCAGTGTCTGATATTTCTGCGGTCCATCTTCTGCGTGGTCGACCTCAGGTTCTGTTAGCTTGTATCTTTATAACATAGCTCTCTGTGGTACCCTGTTTGATGGCAATCTTGCTACGTGGCCAAACCATTAGATGTGTTCTTTACATATAAAGTTCAGTACTAGTCCTCTGCCGGCTCTCGTCTTTATATCATCATTCCTAATTGGATCAAACTTCGTCACACCTAGCATAGTACGTAAACATTTTATTTCTGTCGTGACTATTTTCCTTCTGTCTTGTGAAGACAGTCAGTGTAAATGTTTGACACTGACAGCATAGTGTTGGTAAGAATATTGGGTTGAAAAGTTATTTTAGTGTTCATATTCACATGCATGCATTTTAAAATTAGTGTCATTTGGCCTAAACATTGATTGACTTTATTGCATATTTGTTGGATGTCTTTATTAATTCTTCCGTTTTCCGACAGATTAATCCCTATATATGTAAAATCCTTCGCCTGCTTCAGCTGGTATTCGGCAGTTTTAATATTGGTTGTTCTTCCTTTTCTGTAGAATGGCATTGCTTCTGTTTTGTCTACGTTGATTTGATATCAGGTACCCGTATATTTGACCATAAAACCATTCCTTAACTAGTCGTGTACATTAAACATACCAAACTAGATACTGCTATGTGATCAAAATACTTTCCATATTTGTTTACAGAAATCAGCACACACAAAAACCAGTTCATAAAATCTCACTATTTATGTTCAGAAGATACCGTAAGTTAGGATACCCTATGCATACACAATGCATTCACTGTCTGCATATAGAAAACGTGTACCGTAGTTGTAGATTGTGTTGTGTAATGATGGGTTCACTATTTGTGTAACAAACACACACACACACACACACACACACACACACACACACACACACACAATTACTCACACATATTTAATACTAGATAAGGTTATATGAATGCCAAATGTTTTAAGAACCTCGTCCCACGAATTGATCCACTAAACGTTTATAAGATACAGTTGTACCTCGGGTCACGAACTCAGTTCGATCTTTAAATCCTTTGCAAACCGAAATGTTCGCCATTCGAAACAATATTTCCCATTCAAAACAATGCACATCTAGTTAATCTGTTCTCCCACCCCACAAACGTTTTTTTTAAATTGGGGTTTTTTCGGGTGGGGGGGGGGGGGGGGGGGGGGGGGGGGGGTGGGGGGGGGGGGGGGGTGGGGGGGGGGGGGGGGGGGGGGGGGGGGGGGGGGGGTGGGGGGGGGGGGGGGGGGGGGGGGGGGTGGGGGGGGGGGGGGGGAGGAGTGAGGCGTTTTTGGTGCTTTTTTCTGGGTTTTTTTTTTTTTTACAAAATGGATTTCAGTGTTGCAAAAATTTATATAATACTAGCTGTACCCGGCCACGCGTTGGTGTGGCATAGTTTGGCTAAATGGAAATGAAAGAAAATAGAAATCGCACGTGTCTAATACAATCATTGTCTGCTCAGATATAGAGATAGTCTTTGATCCCCACCTCACCCCCCCACCCCACAAACTAAATCCACCTACTACCCTCTCCTTCATCAAAATTTAAGTCATTACCCCCTCCCCTCCCCTCTTCCACCGACTACTGCTTTCTCCCTCTTCGAAGGATTTGAAAATCACTAAACTGGCGATATTTTTGTTGTTGCTGTAACTGACATTGACATCCATGTCCATCTGGACTAAAATAGCAGCCACTTAATCGGAACAACGAAAAGAGAACTCAACTATTAGACATGTGTGTGTACTACTACTACTGTGTCGCGATTAAAACACAATTCAAAACCGCAGGCAATTGTTTTCTCGTAGACAGATACTCCAGATATATTATGAAATAGAAATCGCACGTGTCTAACACGGGTTAATGAAGTTAATTGTCGCAGCCACTGTCTGCGCCGACGTCGAGATAGTCCTTCATTGCCCCCCCCCCACCCCCCCCCCCCCATCTAAGGTTGTTTGAAAAAAAAACAGAAAATAGAAATCGTGTTTAATATGGTTATTGTGGCAAATATAGAGATAGTCTTGTTTACTGTACCACGACCTACTCTATGTAATAGTATTAGAGAAGGCGTTGGCTGCACGTAACTCGCCGGCGAATGGTAAATACGGCGCATGCGCAATTACTAACGTGGCTATAATTAGAAATCACTAAAGTTATAAATATTAGTTGCGAATATTTTGGCATAAATTGTGGTCACCTATCTCTAACAGTGACAGGTTGAATTTCAAACCACGATGGTTCAAAATCCGGTATCATAACAAACATATCCTGAAAAATTCAGCTAAATCGGTTCAGTAGT